GTTTCCCCTTGGTCTTTGGGAGGCGTGGGGTTGATGGTGAGGTTCCAAGAAAGGGTCACACTCTCCTCCTGTCTGTAGCCTCGCCCTCCCCTCACGTTCTCTCAAGCCTGTGGGAAAGGACAGAGGACTGGCGGTGTGAGGACCCAGGGATCCCACGAGGGAGACTGATGGTGAATGTTTACAAGCCAATGGCAAGGAGAAGACACTGGGAGAGAAGAGAAACACGTTTTTATTGTGATCAGCTCCCAGCATCACACAGAAAAGTAGAACTTCCATATTCCCAGGGCCGAGATGAAACAATTATCAGGATTTTTCTCGGCCTTGCTTCCAGCATTTTTCCTTTGCCTTTTGTTTTGTTGCTTAAATATTTTTAAAGCAAATTCCAGGTATCATGTCATATATGTTTCAATATGCATCCCTAAAATATTTGGACACTTTTATATAAAACTATGATGCCATTATTAATGCTACTCTTAATTTACAAGGATGGTTAAAATTCAGGTGGTTTTTTTTTAAGATTTTATTTATTTATTTGACAGAGAGATAGAGAGCACAAGTAGGCAGAGTGGCACGCAGAGGGAGAGAGAGAAGCAGGATCCCTGCTGAGCAGGGAGCCTCATGCGGGGCTCGATTCCAGGACCCTGGGATCATGACCTGAGCCGAAGGCAGATAGATGCTTAACCGACTGAGCCACCCAGGTGCCCCAAAATTCAGGTTTTTTAATTGAGATATAATTGACATTAATTTCAGGTGTATAACATAGTGATTCAATATTTGTATATTTTGCAAAGTGATCACCACAATAAGTCCAGTTAACATCTGTCACCATACATAGCTTCAAGTTTATTTTCTTAAAATGAGAACTTTTAAGATCTCTCTTAGCAACTTTCAAATATGCAGTACCATGTTATTAACTGTAGTTACCACCCCATACATTACAACCCCATGACTTACATATTTTATACCTGGAAGTTTGTACCTTTGACCCATTTTACTCATCTTCCACCTCTGGCAACCACCAACCTGCTCTATCTATGAGCTTGGGTTTTTTTCTTGAAGTTTTATTTTAAATTGGATTAATCACTTTTAGATACGCTTTGGTTTGTTTGTTTTTTTTAAAAAGATACCAACTATAAAAAAATTCAGATTTGTGGCACCTGGGTGGCTCAGTCAGTTAAGCATCTGCCTTCGGCTCAGGTCATGGTTCCAGGGTCCTGGGACTGAGCCCCGCATCGGCTCCCTGCTCAGCTGGGAGCCTGCTTCTCCCTCTGCCTCCCCCCCGCCCCATGCTCTGTCTCTCCCTCTCTCTCTTTCAAATAAATAAATAAAAATCTTAAAAAGAAAATAAAAATAAATTTTAAAAAATTAAAAATTCAGATTTAAAATATGCTGAGGCTCAACAATGAAAGTGTAAAATGGAAATAACTTATAATTATGTAGTATTCCATGTGACTTTTAAGGGAAGCACATTTACCTCCATGGCTTCAGTTATGTCAAGTATTATTTGCATCCCAGCTCTCTGAGCTTACTGCCTACTCAACATCTCTACTTCAAAGGCCCAAACAGCTCTCAGCATCTCCAAGCCAAACTCCTGGCCCCACTCCGACAGCCCACAAACTCCTTTGCTAGTATTTCCTGAATGTCACTGGATGGTAATACATCTTGTCTTTCCATAATTTAAAAACTTACGAATCATCTTTAATACCTCCATCAACTTCAGTCCTTTGGCCAGGCCAGCCACAGACGGAGCCTTATCAATTTTACCTCATTTTCTTTCTCAAATATTCTATATTTCTCTTCTGTTCATTACCCTTGCTGAAGCCACCAGAATTTTGACCCCCTTGCAGTTCTTCTCCATATTGCATTTGCTCTGTGCTCAGTTATGCCACTTACACTGGGATGAGATCATCTTATTATGTGTATCACTTGGATAATACAAATAGGGCTATTTATTAAAACACTGGATAGATCGTGGGAAGTGATATATATTATAGTTGTAAAGGTTCAAAACACCAGTTTTTAAAACAATGGGATTTATGAAATTGAAAAATACAAAATAATTGGTCTAAATCAGCATATTTCAGTTGCATTTCTTATATGTTATTGAGAAAACCTTGATTTGTACAAGTCAGTAGTGACCAATGAGGATTCGAAACACTTAGTACCTGAAAATATACTTTAGCTCAACTGTCCTGGAAGCCTGAAAGAGGAGTAGAAGGAAATTTGTGTTTCAAAGTTGAGTTACTGAGAGTATCTCACAATTTGGCTAATTTCTTAATTTTGCAGGTGTAATATTTAGAAAAAGTATGTGAAGTGGTTCCTCACGAGTTTCAATCTTTTTGGGGGGGAAAACATAATATTGCAGTGTTTAACAGCATCATTTTAAAAACTCACAGGTGCCTTTGAATATTCAGTTTCAAGACAAATTTCTTGTTTTGTATGTTCTCAGATTCTAACACCAACTTGGCATCAGTAGTTCAGTGACTTCTGACACTAACTATCCATAGTTTCCACAGGCCCCACAAATCAAGTGCTCATTCCCACAAGACTGTGCGCCTCCCCTCCCTCACTTCATTCAGATGCCAGTTGCAAATACAATTTCAGTACTTCCGACCAACTGGCTTTAAATTTGGGGGTTCCCACAGCCCCCCTCTTCAGGTTTGGCAATTTGCTTAGATGATACAGAACTCAGGGTGCAAAAGACAAAGTGAGGTGAAGGTGCAGAGAGTCCATGCCCTCTCCTCTCTGGTGCCCCACCTTTCCAGCACTTTGAGGAGGTCATCAACCTGTAAGCTCCCCAGACCCTGTTGTTCAGGTGTTTTTATGTGGGTTTTATTATGTGGGCATGTTTGATTAAATTGTTGGCTGTTGGTGATTAGACTTCACTTCCTGCTTCTCTTCTCCCCTAAGGGTGAGGGTGGGGTGGGGCTGACAGTTCCAACCCCATCATCCTGGCTTGGCCTTTCTGGTGACCAGCCCTCATTCTGAAGCTCCGTAGGGGCAGAGGGAGAGGGGGAGAGAAAATCCTAAGCAGGCTCCACGCCCAGCGCAGAGCCCGACATGGGGCGGGCTCGATCTCACAACTGAGATCATGGCCTGAGCCAAAATCAAGAGTCGGGCACTGACTGAGCCACCCAGGCACCCCTTTACTTTCTATTTTTAAAAAGAAATTCTTTTGGGGGCGCCTGGGTGGCTCAGTTGTTAAGCGTATGCCTTCGGCTCAGGTCATGATCCCAGGGTCCTGGGATCGAGCCCCGCGTCGGGCTCCCTGCTCTGCGGGAAGCCTGTGTCTCCCTCTCCCACTCCCCCTGCTTGTGTTCCCTCTCTTGCTGTGTCTCTCTCTGTCAAATAAATAAAATCTTAAAAAAAAAAAAAAAATTCTTTTGAAGTATGTTAAAGCAAATCCCAGATACCATGTTAAGAGCTTCTTAAAAAGTACAGTATTAATAAAAGTTAAATGGATATTTGAAAACAAAACTGACGTTGGACATTGGTCCAGAATATCTGAAGCATCTGTGCAGAACAGTTTGTAAGCCACTGCCTACCTAATTCTAGTCATAAAGGAGTCATGTGAAAATAGATCTGAGTGCTTTAAAAAACTCTTCCCGTGGTGCTCAGTTTTTCTGATCCTGTATTAGGATTAGGGTTAGGAAGTAGGATTAGAGGGTCATCTTGGAGTTCCCCTTAAAATCGTGAGATACCATGATCATACCAGCTTATTTGGTTTTTGCTACTACTATTCTATTGTTATTTCAGGTATCAAAGTTAGGAAAGCATCATCTTAGTTTGTGCTTGAAAGAAATACCCTCGTGTTACACCTTCCTAATTGCAGCATTTCTTCTAATAAAACCCGAAGTTAGAAAGGATCTTTATTTTTCACAAGTGCCTTGAGAGACTACCTGGCCCAGCTTAGTGACAGAGCTTCGAAAGAAAAAATAACTTTATTATTGTATGATTTGTGTCTTAGTAAAATAAGGATTATTTGTTATTGTTTTTAAATGACATCAGTATTTTTTTTAAGTTTTATTAAATCCAGTTGATTTTTCTGTTTTGAGTAAGCTCTCTGCCCAGTGTGGGGCTTGAACTCACAACCCTGGAATCAAGAGTCACATGCATGCTCTATCGACTAAGCCAGCTAGGTGCCCCAGGACTATTTGTTTTTAAAGCCATTTCTGTATCTGATTTTTCAAATTAGTTTTTTTTTAATTTCAAGGTGTTTTTGTTTTTGTTTTTGTTTTTTTTTTAAACACACACACATTTTTATTTATTTGAGAGAGAGAGCATGAGCGGGGAAAGAGGGAGGGGGGGAGAAGCAGACTCCCCACTGAGCAGGGAGCCTGACACGGGGCTTGATCCCAGGACTCTGGGATCATGACCCGAGCCAAAGGCAGACGCCCAACTGACTGAGCTGCCCAACCACCCCTGATTCTTTTAGTTTTTTAAGTCTACAGAGAAGTTGCCATGGTGGGTAGGCCATGGTGGGTTTTTCATTTAATTTTGAAACAGTTCAATAATTTAAACACAGTTCAGTAATTTAAACAATATTCTGGGAAAGAGGGAATACTTGTTTTTGCCATCCAAAGATGAAAATCTGCTTCCTGCCTAACGTTCAGACCCTGAAGCTGTCAGGGGCCAGATCTGACCCCTCTACCTTAGCTGGCATCATTTTAATGTTCTTTCCAGTCCAGTTATTTTAGCCTATGGAACAGTCTCTCGATCTATTTAGCTTTTTCTTCAATAGCTCTATTTGGTATAATTATTGTTTATATAACTGGGATAAAACACGCATACAGTTTGGGCTAGGAAAATTGATTTTAGAGGTAGCACCGGCTGTCCCCTTTCAGGCTGCTCTGCCGGCCTTGCTGAATCTTAGAGATGCTTAATAAAAGCAAGGAGGGAGGAAGTTGGTGCTTGTCTCTGTGGATTCGGCTAGTAGAGATTATTTACCCATGCCAAAAAGATAAAAGTCTTTAATAGATGGCTTTTGTGTTTTGTTTTAGAATCACAAGAAGCTGATGAACAGCTGGTAGCAGAAGTGGTTGAAAAATGTTCATCTGAGACTTGTTCTAGAACCTCAGAAAATGAGGTAGCACAGCAGGCTATTGATTCTTATGCGGCCAAGGATCTCAAAGAAGAACCTGAACATGAGAGTAGCAAAATTTCAGTAGTGAGGCCATTTTCAATAGAAACCAAGAATCCCACGGATATCCCAGCAGCTCTAGGAACAAAGGCCGCTTATGGTTGTGTGACTGGGGTCTCGGGTGAGGCTTTGCCCTCCAGCACACCAGAAGCCATCCCGGACAAGGCAATGACAGAAGACACCATGGGGGTTGCACTGGAGGCTTCCACAGAAGCTGACCTAAAGGCTGGCAGCTCCTGTCCAGAGCCTGTTCCCAGCAGAAGCAAGCTAAGAAAACCTAAACCCGTCTCTCTGAGGAAGAAGACAATCGGTGAATTCTTAGAAACTGATACTGCCCTGGAGGGCACGCCTCTCCCCCAGGCAGCCTATCAGTTCTGTCCCGATGAGACGGATGGGAACACAAATGCTTTGCTAGGAGGTGCCAGGATCCAGAAATCTCCCCCTGATATGAAGGAAACTCTGGGCCCTCCCAGCAGTGACACCAACGACTCAGGAGTTGAGCTGCTGGAGGAGTCAAGGCACTCACCTCTGAAACTAGAGTTTGATTTCACAGAAGATGTGGAAAATATAGAGTCCAGAAAAGGCCTTCCAAGGAAGGTTGGCAGGAAACTGGGTAGCAAACTGCCTCCCAAGGTACAAAAAGATAGCATTAGTAAGCTGGTGGGCGCCAAAGGCGCAGACCAGCCTACAGACCCCACTGCACATGGTGCTCCTCCCTCCCAGGCATCTGCTAAGCTGGATCCCAGCCAGTGGGATCACCACAACTTCAATCCCTTTGGCGGCCACTCCACTCTGCAGAACTCCCCCCCTCTCTCCTCTAAGGGCTCCTACCACTTTGACGCATCCATGGATCCCTTTAAACCAACTACAGCGTTAGCAAGCAGTGACTTTTGTTCTCCCGCCGGTAATCATATTAATGAAATCTTAGAGTCACCCAAGAAGGCAAAGTCGCGTTTAATAACGTGAGTGACGACGGGCGTGGGTGTTGTGTTCTGTGTACTCTGAGTTTGGCAGCCAACTGCTCTGGTTTTGTCCAACTGAAGTTACCTTTGAGGTGCCACAGGGCAGACACACAGCTCATAGCTTTGTGTAGCAGTCTTCAGTATTTTGCTTAACTCTGGTGTAGGGTCAGAAACACCAGAGGCTTCCTTTTCAGGCATCTGCCTTGTTTCTGAATATTCAAGCTCCACACCTTGGGTACTTTTCTCCTATTTAAAAAAAAAAAAGAATAGCGTACGATAGGTAGAGATTTGATGGTTTTCAGAAATCCTATCTGGGCTGTCAGGAATTAACTTTATCGACAGAATTCAAGTGTCAGTGCTAGCCACCACCTTCAGATTCTCTATGGATAAAACAAAAATTCCAAGCCTCCAGATTACCTGTCTAGTATCGGTAACATGTGCAGAATGGTCCCAAAAGGTCTTCTAGAAGTCTTTCACTTAAAATGGGAAGCTGTGATGTTTGTTGGAAACAAACCTACCGCTAAAAGTTGGTAAGAATTCTTGTGTCTCTGTGTTTAGCTTCTGGCTCCATCAGTAAGGCAGTAAATGTCCAGTGAGAATTAAGAACATTTTAAAACATTCATGTAAATCTGACTGAATTAGTCTTTTGTTGTGTGTTGTCTCCCTCCTCCTCCTCCCCTGCTTTCTGGGACCTCTATAACCACCTTTGCAAGGTCCTTGGAGTTCTCAGAGTGATCAAGCTGGATTCCATGTAAAGTTTCAGTTTAAATTTGTTACAGGGTTACCTTTTCCCAGAACTTGGGTTGATGACAGTATATCCCTTTGTGACCCTGTGACATTTTACTAAAAATGAGATAATAGAGAAGGACCAATGACATGGAGGATGAAATGTGAAAAGGGAGGATGAGAAGTACCATTATTTCTAGCTGTCACCATAGATGAGTCAGGGAAGTAATGGTCCGCAGTACTGTGACCTGACGGAGCATGCTAGATGGCATGATGCATTATATTAGAAAAATTTAAAGAGCAGAAAGCATCAGGACCAAGAAGCTTGAGCCATGAGAAATCAGTTCCTCAGCAACCCCAGAATGTCCAAGGTGAATGAAATGTCAGCAGTAGTTCTTGATCTGTTCTTTGATTATATATGAGCAGTTAAATGGTTCCTGGAAAATATTGACTGGGCATCCTCAGAGTGCTCTTCTGTGACTGAGGCTGGTTACCTCTCTCTAGTCAGTGCTTCGGGTATGTGTTGGCCCCGTCATTGCCTTGGTGCTTCATAATGTGGGATGTCTGAAATACGGGGTGCTTCTGGCTAGCAAGGTTGTTAAGGAGTCATCGGGGGCCTCCCTGCAGTTGCATGTTGAAGCCGTGTAGCCAGTGCATTCATGTTAGATCAGATTAAATCTGGACCAAAGGGAGAGGAGTTTATCCTACACCTAATTTGCAGTAGCAAGAAGTACCCTCTCGGGTCCTGCCACTCTCACCCGGTGGCATTTTCCTCCTATTCTGTTCTTGGTGAGTGAACTTCTTGATTTAATATACCTTACAGATTTTTTTTTCTAACTCTTACGCAATCAAAACTCTTATCTCCTTGTTCTTTCTGTAGGAGAGGGTGCTCCACCTCTTGTGTAACTCTGGGGTTTTGTTTAGAAAATCCCTTCATCGGTAGGAAGGGCTGGAGTTGTACCTGTGAAGTAGGATCGAGTGGAAAGTTAGAAGTTCTGTTAGCAGGTTACTTGTGGGGCTTTTTAAAAGATGCATGCAATTGGCATCTCAGATTCTTCTGTAAAGTGGAGACATTGTACCATCTATGATTGGTATTTTATGGCTCAAATAAGATAAATTATGTAAAATCACAGTAAGCTTCTTAGTGATACACACATACAGTAGTTATAATCTGATCCATTGTGAACTATTGTATTCACACATTGCCTTTAATCTGGATGACGAGACATGAGTAAATGTTCTCAGTAGTGAAATGTTGGTTTTATATATTGACAAATATTTGGAAGTTCACTTTTCATCTATAAATTTGAATATGAGGCATTTCTGAGTGTTTCTACTCCTCTTACTCTGTTAGAGAGAGATTCCTGATAATCATTTGCTCACCAATGATAACATTCATGAATATGACATTTTTATTTGTATCCCACCTCATAGAAAGAATTTTTCAGCCTTTACATCTGCCAGACTACAGATAAATATTCCAGGCTTTACATGATTTTTTTCTCCATCTGTCTGTCTCTTTTCTGTCTCTAATTTTGTTGGTGCATCAGGACTACTGAACAAGTGAAATTTCTCTGTTTTCTGTTGTAAGTACTTCTGCTGTTTCTGTTTGTCCCTGGGACCGTTGGCAGTTCCTCTCCCCAGACCATCCCCAGACCATCTCTCCATAGCATGTTGGCTTGTTTCTGAGTTTGACCTTCTGATGATTTTTTGCATTTCATTTGCCACTTCATGAGTCAGCTTAGCCTTGCAATTTGTACCTAAAGGAGTGGAGATCAGCCTTCCACCTTAGGTGCAAGAGCTTGCGCTCCCTGGCTTGGCACGCCTCATGTGGCACTTTGATAATGAGCGCTGGCTTGGCCCCGAGATCATCCCGACAGTGGTCTGAGGGACGGCTCTGCTGTTGTTGGAAATAATTGACTTTTTTGATAGGATAAGGTTGCTGGCTTGGAACAGGGGATACATTTTAGAGGCAACTCCAGTTTGGTGGTTTGGTAGCAGGGGATGGCATTTAGTAAGAGCATTAGTAAAAGAAAAATCCAGAAACTAGATAGTGTTCATGCACATTCTGGTAACTTTATATGCTCCTCCCTTCCCCCTACCCCCAGAAGAAGAAGAAAAAGTTGTAAATTTATTTATTTTGGCGGAGTGGCTTTTTTACTGGGAATTTTAAGTTCATTAAAACAGAACAGAATCTGAACTAGTCTTCAGGTCATAAATTATGTGCCAGTTCCAGTCTTTGCACAAATAACATGACATTCGTTTTCCATCTTACTGCTTATTAGAAATGGTAACCATTTACACAAATATTTTTATTTTTGTACTTTCAGTTGACCATAGTTCTACTCTGTTAGCACACAGGTCTGGAACTGTCTTATCAGACTTACATGGTTTTTAGTGCAATAAAGAACTTTTTTAAAGAATCTGGTCCAGTGTGGTAATTTTTCTAATGAATTGTCACAGCCAAGTGAGTAAGGATCAGATGAACTGAATGTCTCTAGGTGCTAAGGGTACTTCTGAAAGGCTTGGTGGTGTGTAAGCAGAAACCGCAGGCGTCAGGGTACTGGTGTTAAACGTCCCACAGAAGCATGTGAGGAGGTCTTTTCAGAGAATGAGCTGAGCTCTAGTTCTGCTTGCCCTGTCTCCTGGGAGAAGATTCAGAGATGTGAAAGGTGTTCCCCTCTCTAGTGTGTAGATGTAGAACGTGTGTGGTGCTGTATGCTTTGGCTTTTCTCTGCACACATTGCTTTCTCTGCTCCATCTCATAGCTTGGAAGCTGTCAATGTGATTCCAAAATGGCCTGTTTCTGTTTTTTGTTTTTTGTTTTTTCCTTTCCAGGAGTGGCTGTAAGGTGAAGAAATATGAAACACAGTCTCTTGCTTTGGATGGCTGTTCTCAGGTGAGTCTCTGCCCATCACCAGAATGTCTCTTAGACCAGGGGTACCCCAAATGAGTTTGTATCCTCCTGGGGGGCATGGGGGAGCCAGGGGGGATTAATGAAGAGTTTCCAACAGGTGTCTGAGTATCTGGCTTTGAGGAAACCAATTTCCAGACCCTTAATTTCCTAAAGTGACCTGAGAAGGCTCCTGAGAACAGGGAAGCCCACTCACATTAAACCCTTTTCCCACTTCTATTGGGTGAAGTTTCCTCCCATTCTAAATCTTACTAAGATGCATTTTTACTGGGTATGAAACGTCTGGGACGTCAGACAAAGGGCAGATTTGAAGTATTGATGCATGTTTAAGAAAGTGATTGATTCTAATAACTGGATAATTTTTTTTTTAAGTCAGATGGTTTTCCAGTTCGTTGCTTTTAGCAAAGTAGGAGAACCTGAGTTACCACCTGATAGATCATTAAAAATTATCCTCGACACGATGTTAAATGTCAATTATATCTCAGTAAAATTATTTTGTTTAAAGATTTTATGTATTTGAGAGAGATAGCATGAGCCAGGTAGGGACAGAGGGACAAATAGACTCTCCGCTGAGCAGGAATCCCGGAAGCAGGGCTCTATCCCAGGACCATGAGACCTTGACCTGAGCCAAAGTCAGATGCTTAACTGGCTGAGCCACCCAGGAGCCCCCCCAAAATAATTTTTGATGATAGAATTTTTAGGTACGTAACTTGGAAAGGGGTTCCAAGAATCAAGAGACATATTTCATAACAAAACTTTTTTCTCTTTAATCTATTTGTATAAATAAGCTTAAATATCTAGGCTTCTTATTGATTTATAATTATAAAAATGAAAAACAGGATTAAAATTCATATGGACCCTTGTTTCCTTCTAGCAATAAATATTTGTCCAGGACTGTATGAATTGGGAAACATAAAAGAAACAAAAATCCAGACCTATTTGATTGAGACCCTTTGTAAAACTTTATTTCAGCATAACTGAAATTACAGAAATACATTCATTGGTTAATAAAATGCATTTTAAATTTAACTTATTTTACACAGTTTGGACCAACAACTTGGTATATGGCTGAAGATTAAAAAAAAAAATGTGCCCTCACTTTTTTTTCATCTATTACAAATGTGTAAAGTATCTACTTTCAAATGCTGCTAAAGCAGGCAACAAGAACCATGAGAAATTTACCTTTGATTCAGAAAAATAGCATGTATGACACTGCAAAAGTTTTAAATAATTGGTACAACGAAATGTAATTGATACTTGTTTTTAGTAAAAACTTTTGAATTTGATAGTACTTACCAAAGTTGTAACAATTTTAGGATACATTGTGCATTAGTGATGTACACTGATTAACTCTCCAGGAGAAAAACTGTTAATACTTAGAGACTTACAGTCATAGAAATTTTTTTTAATTTTAACTTTTTTAACTGAGAAAAATGATAGGGAGAACTTTAAAAGACTTTCAAGTAGGGGCGCCTGGGTGGCTCAGTTGGTTAAGCGACTGCCTTCAGCTCAGGTCATGATCCCGGAATCCTGGGATCGAGTCCCATATCAGGCTCCCGGCTCAGCGGGGACCCTGCTTCTCCCTCTGACCCTTTCCCCTCTCATGCTGTTTCTCTCTCTCTCTCTCTCTCAAATAAATAAATAAAATCTTTAAAAAAAATAAAAATAAAATAAAAGACTTTCAAGTATACAAATGCTTTATTTAAAGAATAATTTCTTGGTGGAAGTAGAAGGGAAATACAAAATCAGAGGGGAAAAGCAATGATGCAAATTTCTGACTTAAAATTTTTAAATTAAAGAGTGTGTGTTCATGTTTGATTTTAAATAGATGACAGAGCATCATCAAATCACTAGAGTAACTAGATTGAATTAAGCAAGGCCAGTTTTTAAAGTATACCAGATTTTTTTTTTTTATATTTATGCTGAAAAGTTTTTGGATGTCACCTGAAAATACAAAGGGGTACATTGATATTCCAGAACAATTCAGGGAGTATATGAGCAAAATATTTGAGAACCACTGTGGACCACTTAAAATTCTTGCTTATAAATTTGGCTAGAAAAGGTTAATTTTTCAGACGTCTGTGTGAATAACAGAACTTAGGTTCTAGAAAGCATAGTATTCATGATTGAGAGACCCCAGCTTCCTCCTTGACTGGTACCAAAATCTGTGGTTAAGTGTTACCAGACACCCCTCTGGAATGGTGTCTGAGATGTCGCCTTCCCCACTGTTGTTCCTCCTAAACGGTAGCATCTGATCTGTTGCATTTCCCAGGATGAAGGAGCAGTGATCGCCCAGATTTCAGACATTTCTAATAGGGATGGCCACGCTACTGATGAGGAGAAACTGGCGTCCACTTCATCTGGTCAGAAATCATCTGGGGCCGAGGTGAAAGGTGAGCCAGAGGAAGACCTGGAGTACTTTGAATGTTCCAATGTTCCTGTGTCTACCATAAATCATGCGTTTTCATCCTCAGAAGCAGGTATGGAAGTATATGTTCATCTTTCTAATGTACTTAAGCCTAGAAATGCCTGAAAGCCTAATGCAGGAGGCACTTTATTTTTTTTTTTTTTAAAGATTTTATTTATTTATTTGAGAGAGAGAGAATGAGAGAGAGAGCACATGAGAGGGGGGAGGGTCAGAGGGCGAAGCAGACTCCCCGCTGAGCAGCAGGGAGCCCGATGTGGGACTCGATCCTGGGACTCCAGGATCACGACCCGAGCCGAAGGCAGTTGCTTAACCAACTGAGCCACCCAGGCGCCCAAAGATATTTATTATTTATTTATTTTTTTTAAAAAAATATTTTATTTATTTATTTGACAGAGAGAGACATAGCGAGAGAGGGAACACAAGCAGGGGGAGTGGGAGAGGGAGAAGCAGGGTCCCGCCGAGCAGGGAGCCTGATGCGGGGCTCGGGCTTGATCCCAGAACGCTGGGATCATGACCTGAGCCAAAGGCAGATGCTTAATGACTGAGCCACCCAGGCGTCCCGGGGAGGCACTTTAAAGAGATTAGAGAATTGGGTCACTTAGAGGAGAGATCTATGCTTTGCTTCTTTACCTAGAAAAGAGGCACAGGCGGGTGTCTTGTTGAAGTACCAGAGACAGGGATGAGCGTGGCGGAGTGCACAGGAGACACTGATGTATGAGACTACTTGAATTTTGAATAATTTATTGTATGGGACCATATCTCAAAATATAGTGGCTTATAGCCATGTTGTGATGGTTGTTCAACTTAGAGAAATAACAGTAACACGGATAGTGCCTTACCGTGTGCAGGCACAGTTCTAAGTGCTTTACATCTATTAACTGATTACTCCTTGATCGGTATTGTTTTTTTCCCCCATTTTTCAGAGAAGGAAGGTGAGACATAGAAGTTAAGTGAGTCAGCCAAGGTCACTTGACTAGCAAATGGTAGAACTAGGATTCGAACCTCAACAATCTGGTTTCACGGTCTTTTAACCGCAGTGCTAATGTGGGAAGAGATTGCTTTCATGACTAGAATATTATACGTTTTCCTGCTCACCGATATGGTAGATTGAAATTGACCAATATCCTGAAAAATCCTTAATGTTCTAATAAGAACTAACTAAACTAACCAATGCTGAAGCTTCTCACTGTTGAACTCTAGAGCTGAGGCCCTTGTCCAGGTCCCAAGTTGTATCTGTGGCCTTAAACTTGACTTGTGAGATGGTTAGAAACCATGTTCCTGACTACTGTAAACATTATTAAAAACTCAGATTTTCAGGGGTGTAAGTTGATCTGGGGACTTTTATACTCAGAATATTAAAAATCACAAACATGTCATCAAACCAGGGAAGCAGGTGGAAGTCCAGACTTTGCAAGAGTTCTCCCCTCAGCCTCTGCCCACTGCCCACATCTCCATCTCCCATCTGTAGAGTAAAGGTGCCAGGCACTATTCCACGTTTCTTCCCAGGCCGCTTTCTGCTCTGACATCATCCCAGGGATGATCCTGAGTACTCTTGTACCTACATTATTTCTTACATTTAAAATGCCTTTCTTGGGGCGCCTGGGTGGCTCAGTCGTTAAGCGTCTGCCTTCGGCTCAGGTCACGACCCCAGGGTCCTGGGAGGGAGCCCCTCATCGGGCTCCCTGCTCAGCGGGAAGCCTGCTTCTCCCTCTCCCACTCCCCCTGCTTGTGTTCCCTCTCTCGCTGTGTCTCTCTCCGTCAAATAAATAAATAAATATCTTTAAAAAATAATAAAAATAAAATAAAATGCCTTTCTTTGCCATCTTCTATAAAAATTCTGTCTGTTCTTTCAGGTTTCTGTCAAAAGTGTGACTTGGCTTCCACACTATGTTCCCACTGCATTTCTTCTCTTACAACTCCTATTCCATGTATTTATTATAACAGGTGCCTCTGATAAACTTCTTGAGGGTAAGGACTATGAGTGATTCATCTTTGAATTTCCTCTGGTATAGGAGCATGTAGATATTTGATAGATTATATTCTTCCTCACTAGAGGAAATTCCTCCCATGGAAATTTCTGGAGCTGGGGTTCTGTTAGCCACGGTGCTGTCCTCAGAGTTAGTGAAAAGCTAGTGCTTCAGCTCCAGGGACTGATCAGCTGTGTCCTGGGAGCAAGCAGAGGCTACGGTCATGCAGGGGTGGTAAGTGTTGTGGAGGTGGGAAAGGAGTTCTGGCTGGCAGGGGAATCAGACTCTCCAGGGAGAGTCACCTTTGCACCAGGTCTTGATAGACAGACACATAGATGTGCCCCAGGGAACGAGAATCTCTCCCAGGGGCAGGAAGGAACCTGCCATGTTGGTAAATGCTCAGCAGTTCTCTGTGAATTCAGGACAAGTGGGAAAACAAGGTTGTACTGAGGAATCTGGGCTTGATCCTGTCAGTAAAGGGGAGCCATTGAAGATCTGTAGGCAGAGTGGTGTTGGTCACATTTGTGTTTTAAATAATTCACTGTTGATAGTACACTAAAATAGTAATTCGCTGTTGCCACATGGAGGATTGTAGCTTTAGAATTGTGGTTTTTTTCATATTTAAAATTTTCTTCAATGAGTGCATATTCCTTTAATTAGAAAGAGCATAGTATTTTTTTCTTTTTAATGTTGCCTTTGGTGGTGGTGGACAAGTTTGAAAGTGTATGGGGAGGAGAATGAATTTAGTTTTTTGGGCATTGAAATTGAGAGCTTATTGTTTTATCTGCTACATTAATTAGTCTGAGGGTACCCTTCTGGGCTGGAATGTAAATTCACTCAGACCTGCCGCTAAAAATAACATTCACGTTGTGGTTTCCTCTTTCTGACCTAGTCCCATGGTTGTAGTTAACACCTTATTTACAAAACTTTTTACGGACACAAGGGGGCAGCCTTGCTGTTCTTTCCACCTGAAGATGGTGATTGTGTGTATAGCTGTCTAACGGCACACTCCCCTTCCTTCTGAGTATTTCGGTCTTTTAACACCTATCAACAAAGTGCCAGTGCTCCTTTGAAAATCTGGAAATGCTGTTCATGGGTTCATAGATGTCACTCTGGGCCTGCACTGGGGTCTCCAGAGTCTTCATCAGGAAAGACAGGAACTGACTTCTTGGGATAACTATAAAAATGACTCTCTGTGTTGTAGGCATAGAGAAAGAGACGTGCCAGAAGATGGAAAAAGATGGATCTGCCATGACCGTAAGTTCCTATAATTGTGGGGGGTGGGGGAAGTGTGGGGCTCAGGTTTGTTTGTTTTTTTTCAGTATTTATTTTAAAGCCCACATTAACTCATTAACTAAATTATAGTCAGTGTTTGGTGACGGGCTGAAATATAAATAAAAGTTTCTTCACTTGAGCTCTTAGTCTATCCTGATATCTACCCAGTAGCCACCAGCCTCATGTGGCCGCTGAGCACCTGACCTGTAGCTAGTCTGAATTGAGATGTCTTGTAAATATAAAATATAACTTGTCTTTAAAGACTTAGGACAAAAAAAAAAAAAAAAGGAAAATAAAATGCCTCGAACTTTTTATATTCATTGCATGTCAAGATGATCCTATTTTATTTATTTATTTATTTTTTAAAGATTTTATTTATTTTGACAGGGAGAGACACAGTGAGAGAGGGAACACAAGCAGGGGGAGTGGGAGAGGGAGAAGCAGGCTTCCCGCCGAGCAGGGAGCCCGATGCGGGGCTCGATCCAGGACCCTGGGATCGTGACCTGAGCCGAAGGCAGACGCTTAACGACTGAGCCACCCAGGCGCCCCGATCCTATTTTAGATGTATTAGGTTAACTGAACTGTATTATTAAAATTAATTTTACTTGTGTGTCTTTTTACTTTTTAAATGGCTACCGAAACATTTTAAATTACCAATGGCTTGCATTATAATTCTTTTGAACAGCACTGGTAGTGGATACAAAATGAAAACTAATGAGACCATGTAAATGTGAATGTTGTAATCCAATGTGTTCCGGGGGCTGTGGGAGCCAGGGCTGACCGCCTGCGCGGCAGGTGTTGGGGAGGCTGAATTTGAGCTCATTAAAAGCAAAATTATGTTACACTTTTTAGACTTACAAAAATAGTACAAAGAATTCCTATAAATCTTTCACCCGTATTCCTTGAATGTTAACATTTTATATAATCACAGTACAGTTATCAAAATCAATGAACACTGGTACAGTATTATTATCTAAGCTATAAGCCGTATTTGAATTGTGTCGGTTGTCCCAATAACATCCTCTTTCTGGTGCAGGATCCAGCTCAGGATCCCACGTTGCATTTAGTTCTCGGGTTCTCAGTCTCCTGTAATCTGTGATAGTTTTTCACTCTTTGTCTTTCCTGACCTTGACACTTTTGAAGAATACAGGTCAGTGTTTTGTAGAATATCTTTCATTTTGGGTTCATCCAGTGTTTCTCCTGATTAAATTCAGTTTATGCATTTTGGGCACAAAGCCATCAGAAGTGACCTTGTGGATCCCAGCTTGTCCCATTATTGGTGGAGTTAACTTTGATCACTTGGTTAAGGTAGTGTTGTCTTAGCTTCTGCCATTTGAACTTAGTTTGAAAGATAAAGCAGTGAAGGGTGTTCTGGGCAGCAGAATTGGCCTGCACAAAGGCCCGGAGTGAGAAGCATGGGCTCAGTGAGGAAGTGGAAGTGTTAGTCATCTCGTGTGATCAGAGGGTAGTCCACATATAGTAGCTGAGGGCCAGATCATCAGGGGCTAGTGACATGGTGCCAGGAGGTTTGAAATTGTGGTAGAAGCAGTAGGGAACTGTCGTGGGGTTTTAAGTAAGGAGCATCGTGATGGGTAAGAGTTCAAAGGATGGGGTGGAGGCTGAGAGAGATTTATCAGGTAGAACCATCATGTTTGGTGACTAGGGAGATGTGCGTGGTGGCTGGGGTGGAGTGGTGGTGAGAGAAAGTTGGTGAAAGCCACCCAAGGTTTCTTCCTTGAATGTCCAAGTGGTCAGTGTTACTGATAACCCACCCCGCAAACCTGGGGTGCCCAGGGGCTTCTCCCTCCCCCTTATTCCCACAAGCAAAATCTGCTGTTTCGACATCCGGAAACCATATATTGTAAACCCACTGATGTTTCTCCGGCCTGTGGCCGCCACCAGTCTTTTAAAATATGGTGGTAGTTTCCTAACCAGTATCCCTGTTTCCAGGCTGTTCTCTCATCCTTTTACATAAGCCAAGGTAATGTTTTAAACACCAAACTGATCTTGTTACTCTTTGCTTAACCCTCTTGGTTGGCTTCCCTCGTCTGTAGAGTAAGTTCAGACTTTTCCGGCGGCGGATGTGGCTTTCTGCACTGGGACTCTGCCTTTCTCTCCAGCTTCCACTGTCTCCTCTCTCCCTCACACATCTGACCGAACCACATGGAAGTTCTTTCAGTTCTGTGAACCCACCCCTTGGAGTCACTTCGTGTTCTCCCTTCCTTCCTTCCAACACTGTAAGCTTGGTGAAGGTAGGGACCACGACTGTCTGTTTGCTGCTACTTTAGCACCTACCACAATAAATTCTGCTGAACACAGGAATCAGTAAAGTAAGAATACAGAAAGAGGAGCAGAATTGTAGAAGTTAATTTTTAGATCTGTGCCTTTGAGACATCTGTGGGACCAGTTTCTAAGTCCTTATTTCCGGGAGGCAGTTCTAATAAGTCCATAGCATGAGTTCAGTAAAAGCCTGGGTTGGGTTTATTTGCTATTTTTTTTTTTAAGATTGATTGATTTTTATTTTTTTAAAGATTCTATTTATTTATTTGAGAGAGAGAGAGCACATACAAGCAGAGGGAGGGGCAGAGGGCAAGCAGACTCCCTGCTGAGCAGGGAGCCCCAGGTAGGGCTCAATCCCAGGACCCTGAAATCATGCCCTGAGCCAAAGTCAGATGCTTAACCGACTGAGCCACCCAGGCACCCCAAAATTTACTTATTTTAGAGAGAGAGTGTGTGTGAGGTGGGGAGAGGGAGAGAATCCTCAGTCAGACTCCCTGCTGAATGTGGAGCCCAATGCGGGCCTAAATCCCCAGACCTAAGGTCACCACTAGAGCCAAAACCAAGAGTTGAAGGCTTAACTCACTAAGCCACCCAGGCACCCCAGCCCTTAAATCTATTAAAGCCAACCCAGGGGGTGCCTGGGTGACACAGTGGGTTAAGCCTCTGACTCTTGGTTTCAGTTCAGGTCGTGATCTCAGGGTTGTGAGATCAAGCTCTGCATCGGACTCCACGTTCAGCATAGTCTACTTTAGACTCTCTCTCCCTTTCCCTCTTCCCTTCTCTCTCTCTCTCTCTCAAATAAATAAATAAAATCTTTAAAAAATTTGAGGGTCTTTAGGACACAGGATAGTTGAAGCTATAGGATTAGATGAAGCTGTGATTGAAACATCCTTTACCTTAATCCACAGTAAAAATACATTTTGCATCTTGACTTTTATATATATATATATACATATATATATATATATATATATGAATGACACATCACAACATATGCATTTGTACTTTCATAAAACAAATTGCACAAAACAGTATCTACCTTTCTTCATGTGATTCACTCTGCTATTTTTCTATTCTATTTCATTTTTTAAAATATTTATTTATTTGAGAGAGAGAGAGCAAGCATGAGAGAGCATGAGCAGGGGAAGAGGAAGGGGCAGAGTGAGAAACAGACTCCCCACTGAGCCGGGAGCCTGACTAAGGGCTCGATCCCAGAACCCTGGGATCAAGACCTGAACCAAAAGCAGACGCTTAACCGACTGAACCACCCAGGTACCTCCTCTATTTCATTTTTAAAATTCCATTTCATTTTTTAATGCAGATTGCATGTCCCAGTAAATTGTTTTCAGGACTCACTGTTAGGCCAAGACACACAGTGATTCCCTAGAGGACACAGAATGAGCAAACGTGAAGGTAGATGAGTGAAGGAGTAGCGTGTGGAAACATAGGCAGAAGGAAGACATACGCAAAGCACATAGGGTCTCAGGAGCGTTGTCCCCCTACAAGGGCCTCACACATTAGTGAATTTGTTTCTGGACAAAATCACTTTTTTGGGGAGCCAGGTCGCCTAATCCCAGCACAGCCACTCATGGGCCTGTCTTTCCTCATCTGTGGGAGGGAGGGGTGCCTGCCACCCGCACCCACGATAGGCTGACATTACACACGCCACTACCCAAAGAGCCTGCTCATGCACTTGGGGAAACCAGTTCCTTTGGAAGTTTCCTAAGTACTAAGGGAGCGCTTTCTTGTATTTTCAGTCTTTAAAAATAGCAAACGGTTGATCAGGGCAGGTTGTGTCGAGTGGACCAAGCCTTGGTCTGCACAGCTGCAGGTTTAGGTGGCTTCCCCAGCGTTGGGAACAGACTGGTTCAACTTCTGGATTCCCAACTTCTTCATCCATAAAATGAGAGCACCTATTGGCCTCATCCATTGGTCATGAGGATGAAAGGCAGTGATAACGTCAAAAATGGGAGCTGCAGAGTGGTAGGCCACTGTCAGGTGGGGTGATGCTGCCAGGAAGAGGGTGGGAGAGTGAGCGAGAAAGAAAAGTGGGGAATACTTGTCTTTGGAGCTGGCTGCCAAAGAACATACCCTATGTTGTGATCTCTTAAAAGTAACCCCAGTGGAACTTCCTGAAGTCAATGAATTTCTACTTCCTAGAATGTGGAATAGGCGTCACATAAGGAAATTGCAGTATTCAAAACACTGAATAAAGAAATCTGGTTCATCTAGCATTCACTTGTTTAAGTCTCTCTGTGTTTCTTGGAAGTGCATTCCTGTTGCAGCAGTCGGTGGTAGCCAGGGCAAAGTGACTAAGGCCAGAGTGCACTCAGTGGGCAGTGAGTCTCATCTTGCTTATCAGCTATTGGTCTGCAGCGTTTTTCAGTTAGGAGTCAATTTATTTTTTTAGGAAGGCTTAAACTTCTAAAAATTGAGTTCAGTTGGTTTTTCCAAGGATGTCTCAGTTAGAGCTCAGTGGCTGGAGTGGTACTACTCCATTGGATTCAAGGACAGAAGATGGGATGAACTCCGCTTGCTGTGAGAGACTAACGGTGCTCATTTTCCCACTACAAGGACATGAGCAGAGAGGTTTCCTTGGTGGCATCCGTGCTCACTGCCAGTCTGCAACAGACTGCATTGAGTTCCACTGTCTAGAGACAGGTCTTTCTTGGCCCTCACGTGTGAATGCTTTGGGGAAAGGGGAAAGGATTAGGGTACGTGAAATGATCCTTTGGAAGGCTGGGACTGACTGATTGGGTTAGCATCTTTATTAAACATAATAGATTACCCAGCCCAGGATGAGATTGTCAGGTCAGTTCTTTATGATGGTAGATTCCGTAGGCTTTCTATGCTGTTGATAAGCAATATAAAGGACTAAAGAAGGTGAAAAGCTAAATCCTAGGATTCTTGAAAAAGGTGACTAAAATAGGCCATGGCCATAAATTTCCTCATAAGAGCTGTTGCATTTTGCATTTAAGCCATGAGGGGAGAGGCACGGGGCCACGTGGAAGGGAGTGACTAGCAGCGCACTCATCTGGATATATCTGCCCCCATCTAAGGTCTGATCACCTGCTTCCACTTGGAATGTTGCCTCTTCCAGATACATTAAGTTGTTGAGCAAGTGGGCACACAACTCATTTATCCTCTCAACAAATGAATGAGATACCGACTTCTGGAATAGACATTGATGTTTTCCCTACTAAGAAAACTCTTTTTGGCTTATTTCCCAAAATCTTGCTAACTACAGGGTCATGGGAGGCACAGAAGGGCTGTTTCTTAGAATTGATTTGACTTGGTGATTCTGGCTTCAACTAATAAAAACACAGAAGACTGATTTTAAAATGTATTAATTTAGAATCAGAAATTCAACAAAGTGAACCAAATGTGTCAGCTTGACCTAGGGTGTTACCTCCCTGTAGGCAAGTTACATGGGAAACCCAAGAGTATGAGAAAGTTTCTTGAGGGAGAAGCATGGCACAGGAAGTTAATGGGCTGATGCCTCAGATGTCCAGGGGTTTATTCATTATCCACAATAAACATTTCTGATGTCCTCCTTTCTGGCTCTGGAATCCTGGGGCGGTTCTGCTGGGTGCCTCTGATCTTACACAGGCTGCAATCAAGGTACTGACCAGAGCTGCAGTCACCTCCAGGCTCAACTTGGGGCGGAGCCACTTCCAAGCTCACTCACGCGGCTGTCGGCATGTCTCAAGACCTCACTAGCTGTTGGCAGAGACATCAATTCCTTGCCATGTGGGCCTCTCCATAGAGAGTTCTTCGCAATGTGGAAGCTGGAGTCTTTTTGTAAACTAATCTCAAAAGTGACATCTCATGGCTTTTACCATAGTCTCTTTAGAAGTGAGTTCCCAGGTCCAGCCTAGACTCAAGGGGAGAAGATTACATGAGAGGATGAGTACCAGGACGGTGGGGGTCATCGGGGGCCATGTTTGAGGCTGCCCACAAGTGGCTTCTGGCTCTAGTGATCGATCTACCCCATGATAGCATTTCTGGAGGGACCGTGGACTCCTGTCAGCAGGGTGGGCTGCCTTCCTCCAGATGCTGCTTGAAACAGGCGCTGCCGGCTTGTGGCTTTCACGTTCCCCATTTCCCTGGCCTAAGCCAGGGCTTTCTGTATCGGGCCCTTCTACATGAAGCTAAAGGCAAAAATCATGGGTGAATTTTTGAGTATTTTCTAGAGAAACAGTGATTTGCAATGACCGTGAAAAGTTTAAAAACTACTGGTCTAAGCTGACTCTGGACTTTCTGTTCTGTCTTGGTTCAAACAAGATACCAGAGAGATTGGTTATATAGATTCTTAAGAGTGTTAAGATTATTGCCAGGTCCTTGGGCTGGCATTTTGGATGTTATTAGATCGGTTTTTTCCTATTTACACAAAAAAGTTTGCTTACACAGGTGGGAGGAAATAGCCCCAAAAATGCCTTTTAGGAAAGAGCAGAGGATGAAGTCCATGTTCATGTGAAAAAATCACCACCGTGGCTTTCTGGAACCTGAGTTTACAATAAAAGCAAGCTGCCGCATCAGAAGGGAACTGAAAACTTAACAGCAAGGAAGAATCAAAAAAGTGAAAGTGCAGGCATAGATCTGGACTTTACCTGTGGCCACTTTGTACAGGGACCATTCATGGTGTCCACCTGACAGCATCACTGGGTCAGGGCCGGACGTCACCGCAGAGCAACTGAAGTTCCTGGTGGCCCCGAATTGTTCCGGGGGTGGGGCAGGGGAGTCAGCATTCAGATGTGTGTGCCATTTCTGCTTCCTGAAGCCTGAGAGTTACTAATCCATTTTAGAAACATTTCTATCCAAGGTAACTAAAGAGGTACACAAAAGTATCAGTATGTTTAAAAGTTGATACTTCATTATGTTTGAAAGTTGATACTTTTTTGGGAAAAGTTACATGGAATGCATCATACCCAGAAATCCCCTGGAAAATGAGACATTTTTCCTTTTCAAGCATGTGATTCTTTGGTGACCGGTCACTGTGATAATCACACTTTCTCCATTTTGGATAAGGAGAAAACTTCACTAGGCTGTCTATTAAATGGAAGTTAACTTGCTCCCCCCACCCCCACATTCATTAGAGAACTTTTTCCTTTAGATAGTACTGTAACTAGATTTTATTTTATTTTATTTTTTGAAAGCTTCCCCTGCAGTGTTTTTATCTTCAAACATGTTTTTAAACATTGTAGGCCTTTGAGTAATGAGGAAGTTATTGAAGGATGCTTGGGGTTGGGAAGCTGAAGACTGAAGGTATTAAGTGTAACTTCTTGCCCCCTCAGGGACTGTTGTTGGAGTCCTCTGTGGAGAAGGCCCCTGTGTCTGTGGCCTGTGGAGGGGAGAGCCCCCTGGATGGCATCTGCCTCAGTGAATCAGATAAGACAGCCGTGCTTACCCTCATAAGAGAAGAGGTAAAGGCCCTCATGTTCTGTCCACTTTTCACTCCCTGACTTTGTGAAGCCCATGCGCTGGCAGGGAGATCCCATCTCTGTTTGGCTTGAGTTATTCCTGGCTGGAAGTTCTTATTTCCTGCAGCTTGTGTAGTTCATAGAAAGGGCTCCCTGTAAAACTCTCATCGGTGCTGGAGTCCTGGGGAAAAAGCTGACAGGGCTTCGTTATCTTTCAGCCTTGAAGTTTTTTGAATATTGAGTTCTGCCAACTCTTCCCACATATGTAACTAAATCAGTGTCTTCGTTTAACAGACTTGCAGTAATATAAAATTGCTTCCCACTTTGATCCATTCTTTAATTAAACAGATCAACTCTTAAATTCCTTTCCTGTGTCTCTTGAACAGCCTCTGTTCAAAATAGATTCCTGCTAGGCCTTTCCTGGGTGATTAGAAAAATATGAAAGATGCAGTCATGTGCTCTTAATCAGTTACCACCCTCTCCCGTTATATTTCTGTACTGTATTTTATGTGTTTGGCTTGTGTGTTTCTTGATGATCCCACCCTTTTTTTTTTTAAAGAAGGGAATTCCCTTATTTGTAGCAATGTTATTTTTATAATACAGTGAGAGTAGTTAAGAACCTGATATATAGGTCTTTTAAAGCTTCACAAAATAGCATTAGGTTGATAATGAGGGATGTCAGCTGGTCCTATTGTCAGAACTTGGGAGCAGTGGTGAGGAGGCCCTACCAAAATCTTGTCAATGAGAAAAATGACCTCATCTTCCTCCCGAGAGTGCAACTATGAGAAGACTGCCTAATGGAGCAGAGCAAGAATGTGCCTCGTCACCTGAAGCAGACGGGCTGGCTGCTAGGTTCTTGAGATTCTGTTAAAGGCACCAAAATAAAGAATGTTGTTATCAATGAGAAAGAGAGAAGCATAGAGAAGTATAATAAAAGGAAAACAGTGATGCCCTTCTAAGCTCTGTCCAGGCACATGGAGTTTGAGGTAATGATTTACTGAGGGCATCCCAAACAGGGACACGGGTGCTGGTCTGAGGAGCAAGATCCCGCCTGTAGTGAGATACAGGTGCATCTGGCTGGAGGCTTTGAACTTCTGAGCCCCTAGTTATGACTCCATTCTTATCAAGCCATCAGAAATCTCTGTAGAATGAGAATATGCTGGTCATGCTAATGCTGTGATGCTGTCATAGTTCTATTTCTTATCATAAGTAAAATTAGTACTTTGATTAAGGTGAGTCTCTGCCAGGCTGATGGCTCTTCTTTTGGTGTCCTGTCCCAATCACAGTTCTGGGCCTACAGAGCTAAGAGCCAGACCCTGGACCTGGGTAAAATTCACAGAGATTGTGATTATCACTTGGAACTTTCCTGGGAGATTTTCTCTTCACCTCTACTTTGGTGACTACGTTTCCACCATCCTATGTGGCAGAGAGTACATTTTTCCAAATGCTTGTGAGCATTATACACAGAGGTTGAGGCTTTATATTCCCAATGTAGCTTGAATGTCTTGGGATGCACCTGGTTGTGTGTTTTCAGTTTTCAATCTTAAATTCAAACTGATAGATTTCAGTAGGTAAAACCAAGCTTTATCTCTCTTATAATTTAGATAATCACTAAGGAAATTGAAGCAAATGAATGGAAGAAAAAATACGAAGAAACCCGACAAGAAGTCTTGGAGATGAGGTTAGACTAGAGGTTTGGGGGAGGGGTTGGATACCTTTATGCATTGTTAGATTTAATATAAATGTAGTAATGAAAGTATTTGCTTACCACAGAACCAACTGTTGAGAACTAGACGGCATTGATATTTGCACCTTAATTTGTGATTGACAGTGTCTTTTCATGAGTGTTTCTGACCAGTTATTCAAATTTTTTTTTTTTTTAAGATTTTATTTATTTGCGAGAGAGAGAATGAGAGACAGAGAGCATGAGAGGGAGGAGGGTCAGAGGGAGAAGCAGACTCCCTGCTGAGCAGGGAGCCCGATGTGGGACTTGATCCCGGGACTCCAGGATCATGACCTGAGCCGAAGGCAGTCGCTTAACCAGGCGCCCTGACCAGTTATTCAAATATTGTAGCTTCTTGTGGGTTTTTGAGAACATTACAAATAAGCAGAACCCACATAGTTCTTACCTTTTGAAGAGACATCAATTTGTGTGAAAAAAATCCACTTAAACTCCAGAATAATAAGATTTATTGACATACTCAGTTATGGAGGCATTATAATTTGTACCACTTTTCTAAAACTCAGTTACACATGATGGCTTCAAATTTCATAACCACCAAATAGATTATAAAAAGCATGTTAACAGGAAACAAAATCGATTGACTTTAAATTGAGATCTTTTTATTTTTGCTCTTCATTCCCTAGAAAGGAGAATTAGAAGCTGTGAAATAACTAAAGATGGCAACAAAGAAGAAGAAAAACGCATAATTTATACACTCATACAGTCAGCGCTTGAATGATGAAGAAACATTTTAATTATGCCCACTTGAATTTGTAGCTCTTGTATTACTTGCTTTGTGAGCATTTACTGGGTGTGAGGTCCCGTGCAGGGTGTGGCGAACAGGAGGGGGCAGCCCCTGCCCTTAGCTTACAGTAGCCGTCGGAAGAAACTCGGACCAAAGTGATGGGCACCACCAGCGAGGGGCAGGGGAACCGTCATTTCTCACTGAGGAGTCACAGGGAAGAGCACTCATCTTACTGGAAAGGGTCAGGGACACTTCACTGCACTTCACCAAAAAGAAAGGTTAACATGACCGGGTGATCTTTAAAGTCTTTGAATAACTGCAATGCTTTTGGAACTAGGACAGTAAAATAAAATTTGTGACTGAATCAGAGGGCACGGACTGCCCATAAGGGTGGATGAGGGCCAGGAAAGCCTGAACTCAGATCAGACTTCTTAGGAAGAACCCCAAGAATGTCATTCACTTACTTTGTAAAAGATTGATTTGTCCAGGCAGAGTTAATGTATTGCCTTGAGGTCATTTACGTGAGGTTCAAAGAGAAAGTGAAGGCAGTTTCTATAGATAAAATAAATAGAATGAAAGGCTTGTTAAACATAAAATCTTCAGAAAAACTTTTTTTGAACGTTAACAAATCTTACCTTAATATTAAAAAAGCCCCAAAGCAGATAATTAGGTTATGTAAATTTGTTCATTTGAACATCATTTAAATATTCATTGAACATATACAATGTTCAAATGTTCGTTTGTTAATGTGTTTGTTTAGGGCAGCATTTCTGCAACTTCCATTGAAAATTCTCTTCTGATAATAATTTTTTTTTTTTAAGGAAAATTGTGGCTGAATATGAAAAGACCATTGCCCAAATGATTGGTAAGGACTTTTTTTTTTTTTTTAAGATTTTACTTGTTTATTTGAGAGAGAGTGAGTGCGTGTGGGGGAGGGGCAGAGGGAGAAGGAGAAAGATTCTCAAGCAGACTCCCACTGAGCGGGGAGCTGGACTTGGGGCTCAGTCTCACGACCCTGAGTTCATGACCTGAGCCGGACATGACCAAGAGGCGGACACTTAGCCGACTGAGCCATCCAGGCGCCCCTGGCCTTTTTCTTTGGTGTGAGCCACAGGTTCCATAGATGATTTTCAAATCAGAATATGAGCTTCCACCTGTCCCTCTTTTAGGTTCAGTTGATGCTCACTGTTTGCAGTGGTTCCGTTCTACAACGTTGCCACAAACACTGAATTAGCAAATACTGAGCTATTGCTTTAGGGGAAGTACAGGGTGAGGTTCCTGCGGGCCTCTGGTCACAACATCTTTGTCAATACATAACCTTGTCTTATTGTATTTCTGTTTAAAGACATCTGGTTTAATGTCAGTTCATTAACATTGAACTCATGGCTCGCAGTGCTGTATTCGTGCCTGAATGAAGATGATCTCACGAAGGTATTTTCTCCGTAAGGCACATCACAGCCTTCTTGCTCACCCAGAAAGCACAAAAATGCAAAAATCATGATACTAAATAGACTGAAAAGGATACTTATTTACAGTATGAAACAAGGAGGCAGTGTGTCGTCTGGTTCAGCCTTAGCTGAGAATGTGCACGTCAAGTGACTAACATTTTTTGCCCCTCTGCACACGACTGGGAATGCACCCCAAGTACTGATTTTTAGTTTACAAATAAATTTTAGCAAGTAGATAAATTCACAAGTACACAATCCGCAAATAATGAGCATCAGCCATAGTTAGGTTCATTTTAGAGGCTAGCAAATGCTTGAATTCTGTGAAAAACCCTCCACCTGGCACCCAGAGGGTTGATGGCCTACTCATACCATCAGTACCCCTGGGTGGGGTCTTCCTTTGGGTGCAGTGTCCTTACTCTGCTGCAAGTTGTACTTTTTCCCTGTATTTGACACACTGGGTACCTTTTACAAACCAACAGTAGTTGGTGCTCATGCATTGAATTTAGAAATAACTCTGCAGCCAATATTGTCAGGACTGACTGCCTAAGTCTTTCTCTGCTTAAGCACTGAAATGATATTTTCTACGGTCCACGTCACCTCATGCCTTCCCAGTGTAGGGCCTTTGTCATAGCTGCTCTGCTGGAATATTCTCCCCTGGGTAGCTGCATGGCTCCCACCCTCAGCTCCTTTGCACCCCTCTGAGAGAGGCCACCTATTTGAAAAAGGAACCCCACCCCTCTTGTTCTGCTTTGGTTTCCCCCCATCACTTGTCACCATCTGAATCTCCCACTAACGTAAGTCCTTGAGAGGAACTTTGTTATGTCCACTGCTGGGTCCCCCCACCAAGAATACGGCTTAGCTCACAGAGGGCAGCTGATAACCATCTGTTGAATGACTCTGCCTTTACTTTTGATTGTGGTTCACAGAAGATGAACAGAGGACAAGTATGACCTCTCAGAAAAGCTTCCAGCAACTGACCATGGAGAAGGAGCAGGCCCTGGCTGACCTTAATTCTGTGGAAAGGTCCCTTTCTGATCTCTTCAGGAGATACGAGAACCTGAAAGGCGTTCTGGAAGGGTTCAAGAAGGTAGCATGTCCTTTTGCTTTTGTCTCCTTAGTAGTGTATTTTCTTGGTAATGGATCTTTAAACATAGATGCCAGAGATGTGGATAGCCTTCTGAATAGGGGCTCGGGGCCCATTATCATTGGCCTTCTATCTTCTGTTCCAGTGAAGGTAGAAGTGTTCTTTCCTCTTTTCTCTTTCTGTGGTGGTTCAGGCATCTGGCTCACCAGGTGACATGTCTTGGTCATTCCCCTCCTAGGTCAGGCTACAGCCAGAGTGTGGCATGGAGTGTAGTAAGTGTGGAACCCTCAGACCTTAGGAGAATTCTAGAAATTCTTTTGATAATTCACCAATTTAATATTAGTAAAGGGAAAATTTAGCACTGAAAGTCAGGCTACATATTCTAGAAGAAAATAAGTAATAATCTTTCAAATTTACATGTAAGTGGGCATGTTGATTCACCTTAGTTGCATACCATCAATAAGATACATTTATAGTAGTGAACATTCTTTTTTTTTTTAATGTAAAATAAAAATGAGAATGGCCAGTTTACCTAAAAGGAGACTCAGATTGCCATTCACTGTGTTAAGATTTATTTTTTAAGTAATCTCTACACCCAACATGGGGCTTGAACTCACAACCCCAAGATCAAGAGTCATGTGCTCTACTGACTGAGCCAGCCAGGCGCCACTGCCACTCACTTTTGAATGACAGCCTCCCTAAACTGGGTGTATTGGTATAACTGAAACTTACTGTGTTTTGAAAATTTATACATGAAGAAATTATCTAGAATTTCTTCAGTAAGAATTATTTGTGCCTGTTTTCTCAAAAATACTCTGGTACATGGTTTGTCACTAGTAGAAGAAAAATAAAATGACCAGTTTCTTTTATTTCTATTATTCTTTTATTGTCACTTTGGAACAGAATGAAGAAGCCTTGAAAAAATGTGCCCAGGATTACTTAGCCAGAGTTAAACAAGAGGAACAGCGATACCAGGCTCTGAAGATCCACGCAGAAGAAAAACTAGACAAGTGAGAACTCGCAATAAATCTGTTTCACGGTTCATGGTGTGGTGGGAAGATTGGAAAAGGCCAGGAAAAACCCTCAACCTTGTTTGGCAATTCCAGGTTGCACTGGGGGGTGTGTATCTGTGTGTCTGTGTGCACGTGCGCATACATTTTACTTAATTTTTTTAATCGGTAAAATCTTCACATGGTTCAAATATTAAAAAGAATAAAAAGATACACAGTATCTCTCTCCCACCCCAATACCCTTCCTCCCCCGCCCTCCTCATCACAGGTAATTTGGTCATTAGTTCCTCCAGTCCTTGCAGATCTACTTTTTCCCCTTCTCCGCCTCCCCCAGCTTTATGGAGATAAAATTAACATAAATCATTGTGCAAGTTTAAGGTGTATGACCTGTTGATTTGCTCCAGTTCTATATCACACAACAGTAGCCTTAACTAACACCTCCAGCACACCATGTGATCGCCGTTTTTTTACTGTGGTGAGACTCTCCCTTTGTTATACAGATGACAGCATACTTTGTTTTTTTCATTTAGTGGTGTATTTTGGAAATCTTCCCATAGCAATCCATGAAGAGCTTCCATTATTTTTCTTAACAGCCATATGGTGTTCCAGCGTTGAAATGTGTCATTTATTTAACCAAACCCGTCTCCTATGGGACACTCAGGTTATTTACCATCCACTACAAACAGGGCTGCAGTAAGGAACCTTGGATTATTATCATTTGGCGTGCATTTTGGTGAGCTGTCTGTATGCTGGAAAAGGAATTACTGGGCCAAAGAATATATGAATTTGTAATCATGATAAATGTTGTCAAATTGCCCTCATTCGACTTTCATCCCTGCATGAAATATGAGAGCTTCTCTTCTCCCCACGGCTTGGCCAACAGACCAAATTTTTGGTTTTCTGCAAATCCAATAGATAAAGGTGGTATTTCAGTTTAGTTGGGGTTTTCTTTTTTTGATAAACAAATAGAGCATTTATTATGTTCAGTGTAGTTTTGATTTTGTTTATCTTACGAGTAAAATTGAACATATTTTAGCAACTATCTATACACATATTCGCTTTACCGTGAATGATTCTATTCTTTGCCTGGTTTTCTATTGTCAGTTTATATATTATATATATAAATATATTACTATATTTATGCACTAAGGCTGCCAGCCCTTTGTGATGTGAGTTGCAAATGATTTTTCTAATTTGTCTTTTGCCTTCTAGTGTTTTTTGACATACAGGAATTTATTTTTATGTAGCAAATTTGTCAGTCATTTCTTTTACTCAGGATTTTCTGTTGTGGTGACAAAGATCTTCTTTGGGCTGAATATAAAATATTCTCCCATGTTTTCCTTCTAATACTTTTATGGCTTTATTTTTTTAACCCTTAAATCCAGCACATTTGGAATTTATCCTGAGGAACAGTCTGAAGAATGCTCCCGACTTTATTTTTTAACTAAAAAAGTGATACCTACTTGTACATTTTCCTCTCTATCTTCATATTTGTAGGACATTTCAAGTTCCCCTCTCTCATTTTCACTCTCAGAGGTACTGCTATCAAAGGTTTATTGTGTGTCCTTCCAGTTTTTTCTTTGTGCCTTTACAAATACTACCCAAAATGGCTTTGGACTTTTTAGATATAAAATACAGATTTCCTTTTTCACTTAATAGTGTATCATGGCCATTTTCCATGTCAGAACATATAGTTCCATCTAGTTATTTTTATTAGGTTGTAGGATTATTCCATTCCTTTATCGACAGGCATTTAGATAGTTAACTTCATGCTTTTTTCTATTGTAAACAATGCTTCAGTGAACATCCTGGTGCACACAATTGTGCAAAGTGGGAGTACTGCTGTGGATACATTACTTTAAGGGAATCGCTAGGTCAGAAGATGTATTCATTTTATTTTTTTTTAAAGATTTTATTTATTTATTTGAGAGAGAGAATGAGATAGAGAGAGCATGAGAGGGGGGAGGGTCCAAGGGAGAAGCAGACTCCCTGCTGAGCAGGGAGCCCGATGTGGGACTCGATCCCGGGACTCCAGGATCATGACCCGAGCCAAAGGCAGTCGCTCAACCAACTGAGCCACCCAGGCGCCCAGATGTATTCATTTTAAATCATAATAGTTGCAACCATATCACCCTCCACAAAGACAGTGCCAGTTTTCATTTCCCCCATCAGCTGGTGAGCCTGTTTCCTTGCATCTTGGCCATCATAGAAAAAGAGCATCCTGGTTAATATTTGCCAATCTGATAAATTTTAAAAGTTTATCGTTTCAATTTGCATGCCTCTGACTACTAGTGAGTTCTTAGCTTCCTTTCATCAATTAACTGGCTATTTATCAATTGACATTTATAGTTTTTGGTTTTTTTTTAAGATTTTATTTATTTGAGAGAGAGAGAATGAGAGATAGAGAGCACGAGAGGGGGGAGGGTCAGAGGGAGAAGCAGATTCCCTGCTGAGCAGGGAGCCGGATGTGGGACTCGATCCCGGGACTCCAGGATCATGACCTGAGCTGAAGGCAGTTGCTTAACCAACTGAGCCACCCAGGCACCCGACATTTATAGTTTTTTAAAATTTCTTTTGTATCTCATTAATAAAGTCACTTTAAGTTCTAGTGTCATAGAGGTCAGTGGTTAGTGTCCTGTAACAATCCCACAGACCCTGCCTGCTATTGCCCAGGGTTAAAAAAAAAAAAATCTAAGATTGCTGTAGAAACTGTCACATGATTCCATTTTCTAGTGACATAAATTTTGAACTCACTGCGGCCTATGAGATTAATTCTGCCACTGGTTTTCACCTTGGAAATTTCCTTAGCAGTTGGGTATCAATTGAATATTTATAAATTTAAATTGAATGATTTAGGTCACTGATGTTTCCCTCATCGTGCTGTCATTTCTTCTAATCTGTGTCTCACAGATGTCAGCGGTTAGTATCTTGACTCCTTAGCTATGACTGATGATTAACCAGGTGTTTCTTGTCCCTTTATTCTGCAAACAAAACACCACAAACAGAGCCAATGAAGAGATCGCTCAGGTTCGAACAAAAGCAAAGGCCGAGAGTGCAGCCCTCCATGCCGGACTCCGGAAGGAACAGATGAAGGTGGAGTCCCTGGAAAGAGCCCTTCAGCAGAAGGTACACAGAGGGGTGTGGTGTGACGACCGGAGAGACACTTGGTTTTCCTCCTTGGCAGTGGCTAACTTGTAGTGGATTTGGATGAAAGAGGAGCCTTGTCTTTTTTGCCCACTTTGATCCAGCTCCTCTGGGAACTGATTCAGGTGGACACAAACAAGGCAGACCATTAATTCCCAAGCGTATGAGTAGGAAATACCCCGGGCAGGATGCAGAGAGGAAATTGCATTAACTAAAGTTTAGGGGACCAGACACTTCTTAGCTCTGAGGCTGCCTTTTCTTCTTTCTTTTTGTTTTTTTATGTAATACATGACACCATCTTGCCCCTTCATTGCAACTTTACCCTCTTGGGGACATTGGCAACGTCTGGAGATACATTTGCTTGTCACGACTGGCATCTCATTGGTAGAGGCCAGAAATGCTACTAAACATCTAACAATGCACAGGACAGTCCCTACAACAAAGATTGACCCAGCTCAAAATGTCAGTGTTACCATGGTTGAGAAATTCTGTAGGGAGATAAAAATCAGGTCCCTATTTCTCACTGTTCAGTGATTCTTGGACTCCGTTTTTTTGTGTGTGCCTCTGATATTTTTCTTACTGTATCTCCAATTATGTACTCATGCCTCTGGCATCCCTTCACCTAGAGCAAGGGTTTCTATCATGGGGTCTGCTAACCCCTAGACAACGTTCCCTGGGATACTCAGACTCCAGAATCCCAGGTCCCTGGAGGTGCTGATGGGCTGAGTGAGGTCCCAGATACCTGTGTTTGTAACAAGTATCGCAGGTAATTCCTGCGATAACAAGAAAATTTGAGGACTAAGGTTCATGGACAAGCTGCAGAGGGCCAGTGGTTACCCTCATCCCCTACTCAACTGAAGCATGACTTGGGGAACACATGAACATTTTTCAGGGGAGAAGGGTCCCTTTCTTTAAAGGGTCTCTGATGTAGAAAAGTTAGGAACCACTGAGCTAGGATGTCAAGGCAGAGCATAGTCAGCCTTGGGACTATTTAGTTGTCATTGCCTTGATCTCAGGATGCAAAGTGGCCTATATAACCATGTCATTTGTCTTTCAGAACCAAGAAATCGAGGAACTAACGAAAATCTGCGACGAGCTGATTGCAAAGCTGGGGAAGACTGACTGAGTTTCCCGCCATTAGCTCAGCAGATCTGCATTTGGCTGCTTTTCTCTTAACCACAGTTATCTTGCCTTATCCAGGAATAATTGTCCCTTTGCAGAGAAAAAAAAAATCTTTAAAAAAGCACATGCCCACTGCTGCCTGTCCCGCTTTGCTGCTGACACAACAGCCCTGGAAGGAACCCGAGAGCATCGCACGGTCCTGGGAGGAGTGGCGTCCGAGCACTGTCCACCAATAGGTTTGGTCAGGCTGCTAAGTTTGGGGGCGTGATTTCTCTGTCTTTAGTTCATTTTTAAAAGTCATCTTTTCTTTTCCAAGCATGTTAAATTTGGGATTTTGTGGCTCCTCTTTGGGATCATCTTCTATCCACCACCTGTCTGAATTTTTTGATGACCTATTTACTTCGTCTTTTAAATTTAGCGTTCAACATTGGTAGTCTTATTTGAGGGAGGAAATAATTTGGCCTATTGTTACTTCTGGTTTGTAAACAAGAAGGGACTTTGAGTACCTGTTTCTACACACACATACACACACACATATATGCTTATATATATATGCTGCTGGTTTTTTCCTCTGAAGCAGAGTCAAATAAGAGCTTCTCCACACAAGAGCGTATTTCCATAAATGTAAAACCGTGTTTTGAAATAGAGTCGTGGCCCAGCATGCCAACCTCAGACTTTGGGGAATTGAAGGTGCAAAGACCCCAGACTCAGGTTTTACATCTGGGGAAGACTTTTTGCCACAGTGTTTCGTTGCCCTGGTATTTGGTTACTCTTCAGCCCTGACAAGTGCGGCCCCTTTGGGGTCAGTCTCCAGAGCACGAAGGGCAGCGCTGGCTGGACTCCCTCCAAGCTGAGGTTTGGCAAGTCTGTCCCAGAGCCGTTCTGTCTCCTCTGCTTCTATTTGTTGCTACAAAATCAGCATTGACCCTTCATCATCTATTTGAAATAGGCAAAGAAAATCTACTTGTAAAAGGCTTAGGCTGTCTCATTGAGTTAAAAGGTAACTGTAACCCTGCTAGCGATTGTAAGGAGAAGAAACAGTTGGTTTTTTACAAGTGTAATGCGTTGTTCTTTGGATTTTTTTTTTTTTTAAGGCAAAAAACCCTTTCAAACTTAGAATGTTTAACAAAACGGGCTATAAAAATCATGTGAACCACTCCAAAAATCAGCACATTTTGAATATTGTTAAACAAAGAGCATTTGGATCCTGGAAGAGAGGAGTGCAAGGAGCAGAACAACACTCACAAAACCAAATTCCTGAAGCTCTTCCTGGATGTGGGTCAGAGTGATGGGGCCATTAACCCCAAGATGGAAATTTTTCCATGTAATGCCAGTGAACTCCCTTCCATTTGGTAGGCAGAACCAAATCCATGCAGTGTTTGAAAACACTCTTTTGTCTTAATCTTGCACCCTGAAAGTCTTCATGGTGATATGCACTATATTCAGTACATGTAAGTTTTCGTACCTTTCCTGTAAAAACTCTTGCATGATCCAACTTCAGCAATGAATTGTGCCTAGTGGAGAACCTCTATAGATCTTTAAAAATGCATTTTTCTTTAGCAGTGTACTATTCACATGGGTGCGATCTTTAGCCCCAGGAAGGTCTATATAATGTCTTTTAAAGCTAGAAGTCACATCTTACCAATATGCATTTATTGTAATTGGTGCTTAGGCTGTATTTTAAAGCCTACTGTCTTAATATTTTGTACAAAAAAGAACAGAAATGATCTGTGGTTGGAGAAGTGACTTGACAATCATTTGGGCTTTGAGAGCAGTCACTGTGGTTCAGTGTGAGTACGATACTGTAGTCACAGTGTCCGTGATGGACAAGTGTCTCCAGTTGGTGGAACGGTTTTCTCTTGGTCCTCCACTACTAGGGAAATTAACTTTGCATTTTGCAGAAAGAAACATTGCTAAACCTTTTTGCCGCTGTGTTTTGGTCAGATATCCATGTTTATTTGTTTTATATTGATCTGTTTTAAGCATGAAAGGCTTATAGTGGTCTCCATTCTAAATCCGTAGTCCTCCATTTAGGCTTCTTATGTATATAAAAAAAAGTAGCTGTGTGTTAAAACCAAAGTGACGACAATCCTTCCCTAGCACGCTAGTGGAAGAGACCCCCCAAAAAGACCCCAGTGAATGAGGTTGCTGCACAAGGGCCACAAAAGGCCCTGGTTATGCAACGTTCGCCACTGGCTTCTCAGCCATGGCTGTTACAAGGGAATGTTCTTCCTCCTCAATTCATAGATGGATATTCTCCAACAAGAATAAAAATGTAGCTTGTTCAGCTGGCAAATCAAGAGAATATCCTGGGCAGAAAGAAGTATGTTTGTTTTTCTTGAAAAATAAGCAAAAGGAAAAAAAAACTTTCAAAATTCTAAAGAGTAAGAACATAGCCTAGAGTTTTGCTTCAAAGCATGTGAGGGCCATGACTTGTTAGGTCGGCAATAATAAACCCCGTCAAACAAGAGTGGGAAGAGAGGAGAAAGGAAGCTGCTGTCCCGGACAGGTTTGGGGGCATTAGGTGATCAGTCTTGTTGAGACTCTGAACCCAGAGCTATTTCTTAAGTTTTTGACTTTGCCAAAGTATAGATAGATAGTCTTTATCTAAAAGTATTTTAATGGGAAGATTTAGCTAAGACAGACCAAACAGTTTGTCACTTGGTTGGCTGGTCAGTTATAGTCAGACCTCCTGAGATTTACTTTATTTGGAGAAGCTCCTGGAAGCCAGTGACTTGCCCAAACCTTTTGTTCTGTAAAACTGTTCTGGAAATATTGAGAAGCCCAGTTTTCTCACGTGGTTTCTAGTTTCTTCAGACCCAGCCCAAATTAGGAAGTACAGAAGCACATGATGGTGAAGAACTCTGACGATCTGGCAGCCTTCCAGAATGATATGGAATCTAAGGGGAGATTTATGTTTCATTTTGGAGGCTAGCTCAAGCTGAATTTTACCCTTCCTTCCTGTCCCACACTTTGTGCAACCCTCCCACAAATACTTAGATATTTATTAGACAGCCCTGAATTAGCACTGTTTATACACGGGGAGCATCAAGTGCCCCGAACGTTCCTGGACTGACTAAGCAGCCAGAATGAAACACTGATTTTCAATCAAGGCAGGTAACAGAGGGCCCAGCGGTGGTTCTACAGCTCAGAATAGAGTTTTAAAGAGAGGGCATTGGTAAGTCTGGTGTGCTGCAGTCGGAGATGATTCAGCACACCCTTTTTCGGTGGGGCAGAAGCTCTAACACCCCGTTTATTTCCTTTGGTTCTTCACTACAGCCAGTAGCCGTCTCCCAAGTCGTACACGATTGTCATCCCTCTAGTCTGTGTGCGAGCTTGCTCTCGGACGACGTGGGTTTCTTACTTTATCCTCTTGTCGGGAAGAGAGAAACTAGGTGTTGAAAGATTAAATGATTTAGGCAAAGGATTTTAAAGTAAAGATGTATATATTCTAAAGAATTTAAAAGATAACAGATTATTATTTGCTTATAAAAGAATAAAATATAGTCTGGGAATCCCAGAATGCCAAGCCAAAGGTCTAAGAAGTCATCTTCTTCAAAGATTTTAAAGAAGTAGCATTTTGAGGAGACTTCTGTCCAAAAAGGTTTGACTGGCCTTCAGATTCCAGTGGCTTTAGGAAAGCAATGTACCACTCAAACCTTGAGTCTCCCGCATAGTAAAGGTAAAGGAACTGATACACTAGACACTTCTCTCTAAGGGTCTCCTCTGGAAGATGATGTCAACGGCAGCATTTCCAGGGAAGACCCATGCCCTCCTGCCCAGAGCCAGCATTCTGGAGACTAAAGATTGCACTTTTCGTAGTTCTTTGTCCAAATGCGATCCCATTTCTGTGCCTCTTAGCATGCAGTTAGATTTGGACAAACAAGATTCCTAAGGAATGACTTTATTAACTATAATATGGTTACAGCTATTACATATATATATATATTCTGGTTATAGTTCTAATATGGAGATGGTGGGATGCCGGCCTGTGGCAGTCCGAATAACGCTCCCAACTCATTTGGAGGCCAGGCCCAGAGCTGAGGTGTGGCTCGAACCTTCCCTGTATCCCTTCTTCACCGTAGAGCTGTGAAGGTGTCACTTTGTTTTCCCTCTGCCTTTCAGTGGTATCTGAAATATATACAAAGTACGTACTAGTAACATTGCTAACGGATGCTCTGTGAATAATTTCCACATGGACATGTACGGATTTGAACTCGGAAACCGTGCCCAGTCCAGATACGGGGCCGCCTGCAGATTACTGGCCACACGCGCAGCTTCCGAGCCGTCCTTGTCACCCAGGGGGACGGGATCCAGGCATTCCTTTTAAACCTCAGAGGTAGCAGTAAACCTTTCAGTGTTGCTGTTAGCAAGTGTGTGTTTGCCAGTAGATGCCCATTTGTACTCACGTGCCAACAAGTAAACGTCAGCCGCACATCTGCTTCCTCTGTGTCCCCGCGGGCGCCCAGCCGCTTGTGAGGAGCCTCTCCGGAGGAGCGAACGCCGCATCGACTACTGTTATCAGGATTGTGTTGTGTGGAATAATCATCTACATAAATTTTATATGCACAGTACTTTCCCTTTTATATGTCAGGTAAATATTTGTAAAAGTTATACTCACACAAATGAAATTATTATAATGATTACTAATATATTTTTTCCATGTTTCATTGCCTGAATAAAAACTGTTTACCACTGTTAGATCTGGGCGTGGGAGTGTTTTGCCCCCTGGTTAGAAGTCATCTTATCCTCAAGTGTGAAAATTTATGACAGCCCTGCTTTTCAGAGCTCCATATTTCAGGCTAAAAATAGAACAGATGACATTTTCACGACACTCATTTTGTGAAATTTTATGCATTTGGTTGGGTGTGTAATTAAAACAAACAAAACTTTGGAATTCAGACCTTGCCATATAAATTTCCCTGCCTTCGCATCTGTGCAAACAAAGTTTTTAATTGCATGCTTCTTGGTTTTGCTTAGAGACTGCGTGTCTGCTTTGGCATTTTGCAAGCCCTGAGAACCTAAGTCCCCTCAAGCTCTCGGACTCATTGACAAACACAGGATAAGCCCGGACTGTGCAAACTCTGCAAAGCAGCCCACAGCAAAGAGTTCACGTGTTTGTGCTTCTTCTAGGTTAACACCAGGAGAAACTTTTTCAGTACTGGCCCGGCCACCTCTGTGCTTAAGGGGAGAGGGGCCTGGGCAGGAGACTTGTGAGTTTTACTGCAGGAAAAGATCAACTAGAAGGCTAGTTATGTGTCCACTCCACAGCTTGGGGGGGTACCAACCCACTGTGGAGTCCGAGCACTGTTGGCTGCATCATAAGACCGCTGCAGCCTATGACATTCCTAAAAAGAACGTTTCTCTCTAGTATGCTCCTGAGCCGGCAGGAGGAGTCCTGTAAAACGGCAGAGGAGGTGGTTACAGAGGAGGTGGCACTGATTCTTGCTACGTGCTCACGACGGTAGAAATCTCATCATTTTCCAAGCATTATTGCGAAGAAGACAGAAAGTACCTTCCTACTCTTACAGTTTT